TTTATTAAGTGATACATTAAACAACAATAAACAAATTTAAAGTTTTATTATCTGATTTTAAAAAAATGAGCTATAACTTTTTATATATGCTTTTTAATAATTTTAAGATTAATTTGTTTTTTGAAACTATAAAGTTAAAATGCATATATTTATCTAAATATTTGAAAAAAGGGACAAGTAACTGATACTCTTTATAATTATACATAATTTTAATTTCACTTTCTGTTAATCGTATTATAAAAACATGGAAGACCATTAAATATTTATTCCAGTTTAATTTTATTACAGGTAAAAGTCAGATGAAATTTTAGTGTTTACTTATACAACACTATTTAATAAATAAAAATATTTTCACAGTAAAATTTATGAGCACTAAATGAAAAAACCCAATTTTCCCCGGGTTTTTTCAAATAAAACCCAATTTTCCCCGGGTTTTTTCAATAAAACCCAGGCGGGTTGGGTTTTTTCAAACCCTGCTTAGAGTAGCTGCAAATGAAAACATCTTTACAATCTCACATAAAATAAAATAAAATTGGGCTGCATACCTAGAGTTGACAAAGAAAGACTGTCATTAATTTACCAATTCACTTTACAAGAACATCATGTAAGAATACTGGTTTGAATGTGATGGATTCTTTGTAGCATTCTGATTTAATCTTTATTTGAACTAGACATGCATGCTTTAACTGGCCTAAATGCCATTAATTACAAATTAAAATAACATTACGCAAAATATGCCGAAAAAAAAAAGTCTGCCTTAAAATAAGTTACATTATTTAAAGTTGATTGAGTATCTCCTATATCAGTATGAAATATATAAAAATGCCGTAAAATATTTATTTTCTACTTAAAGATTGGGCAGAAAGCAATAATTAGACCCATGATTAATGCATTTTACCCACAGTTATGTTATATGTAAAGCATTATGAAAATCTAATTAGGGGAAGCTTTTATATTCTTCCTGACATGTCACTAGTAGACCAGACACAAAAGTTAACGGTATAGTGCAGGGATGACGAACCTTTATACACCAACGTGCCATTTTCTGTAAAAAATTGCTTAATGAGGTCATAGACGTGCATTAATTAATTGTGACATTAATTTTTAATTTTTTTTATCAGTAATTGTTTAATATTTTGTTTGTTTTTTGTGAATTTTAATTTCATTGTTTCATAGCGTAATAACATTTGTGATAACAATAGTGATCGGTGGAGTGCCCAAAATATTGTGTTGCGTGCCATTGGTTCGCCATCCCTGGTATAGTATATACATGAAAATTATCCTATGTTACAAATGTTGAATATTTTATTACTAGCTCTACTAGTTATTAAAAAAGCTGCACATCTTTTTTTTTTGTAACTTGTGCTACCATAAACTTGATTTATTTTTACGGTATAGGCGCAAAATGAAATTTTAATACCAGCAGCAATACTGTCTAAACTAAGGCAGAAGATACTATCCTCACGCATGTATGTGTATAAATTCATCTGCTCTAAGAAAGTGCAGAATTTTAATTTACAATGCAGGAAAAAACCCGAGACATTGTGCATAACTTTTGATTTAATTGATCAGTTTTCATGTTCTAGGGCTGAATGTTAATAGTTCAATGGTATAACTTCAAATATGCTAATTAATAGTGCAGACAATACTTCAAGTTACGAAATTAGGCACCAAAATATACTTTCTTTGAATAAATATACATTTTATTGTCAGATTTGCAACCCTCAAAATATACTTTATAGCTGCAATCTGGGAAACATGGCCCCAATAGTTAAGTCAGGAGAGTGGCTGAATATTGGACCCCTTAATGCGAATTTTACCTTTAGCGCATTTCCCCAAATCTCAAGAGCTTTTTTTAAACAAATAGAAATTTTTTTGTATCTAACTATAAAATTCGCTTCGCCAAAGATAAGTCCGTCCAAAAAAAATTTTTTTTTTAATAATTATATATTATTTTATTTAATAATAGTCTAAAACCTTTTTAATAGTAAGGTATACACTTTTTACATAATTTTAAAGAATGTAATTTTCTACGGCAAAATACAAAATCGATCAAATAGTTTCTGATTTTAATCAAATCAAATTAAATCAAATTTTAAAAAAGTCACATATTTAATGTTAATAATAGAAAATATTAATTAGCTCACCTCCTTTCATCTGAATCAAGTAGTGTTTCCTTCTTGTCTTCATACTTTGTCGCAAGTTTTGATGCATCTTTTGGAGGATCAAGCAATTGGTTAGAGGATGTTTGATTGCCACATTCAGATTTAACTCTTGGATCACTGACATTATCAGCAGGTAATAATTGATTATTCTGAAGAGCCTTAGAACTATTTATATTAAGAGAATCTTTGCAAGGTTTCTTATTGTTGGAAGTATCACCAGGAGATTCCTCTAGAATCAAATTTCTCTTTTTATTTAAAGCTGTGTTACTTTTACAAGATCCTTCTGTTGCAAGTTTATTCCTTTTGGCTCTTGGATCATTGGGAGTATCAGATGGACGAGAAGTTGTGTTGCTTTGATTTGAAGCAATATCTTTTGTATGAGGCTTTGAGGTAGTAGAATTTGTATTTGGAACAACTACTACAGATTGTAGAGAAGCAGGAACTGAGCTATCTGGAACATTACCAGCTTCAGCAGAGGCAATTAGAGCTACAGCTTTTTTAAGACGTGGATCACGGTGGATAACAGAATTACCCTAAAATATTACAATATCATTAATCACATAATAAATATTTTAAAATATTTATTATAGTTGTACAGGAATCTTCTAACATGAATATTTCAGGCATAAATGAGTTATTAAAGAAAGAATTAATACTAAGGCTCTGAAGCACATAAAAAATATGTAAACCTGTTTCAATAAAAAAATTTTTTAATAAAATTATAAAAAAAATATCATTAATTTTCTTTGCAATTCTTAAGATAAAAATGCTAAAATCCAGAGAAAAATTAAAATAGTTTTCAATTCTATATCATATAGCAATAAGTTAATTTTTTCCTTATTCAAGATTTAAATACTCAAATGTATATAAAAAAATAAACAGTGTTAAAAACAAAGTTTTTAAGATGATTTCAAAGGAACAGCACGTATCAGTACATTACACATAATTTTTACTATAAAGAATAACCACATTTTGACAAATACAGCATGACAACTTTAGTCTGATTGTAAAGACGAAGAAAAAAAATTATATTCTTACGAAATTTGCAGAGGTTATGTTCATAAATTACTTCTATTTTAAAACAAAAAAAATATATGTTACATAGCTGTCAACATACATTGGGGAAAATCCAGTTGATTTTAAGAAATAATAAAATTTCATGATAGTTGTTAATGCAAATATTTTCAGGAAATTTTAGGGATTTTTGTTGTTATCAAAATACAAAAATTTATTACTACACTAATAACTATAAATGGTCTGCAATATTTTCCATTCACGAACAATATTAAATGAACTTAAAACGTTTTTCATTATGTTAAATCACACCTTTGAATAGTAATACACAATTAATTGATTGTTAAAAGATTAATTAAAAAGTAATTTAAAAACAAAGTTTTGAATAAAAAATTTAAAAGGATATCTATAAATAAGGCTTATTAGTAATACTTATTTAAATATTTAAGCAAGCAATAAAATTGTGTAACAATTCTATTTCACTAAGGATTTTTTTAGGAAACTTACTGAATTTTAGGGAATATTTTAAAATGTATAAAAACCAGGAGAATTTTTTATAAAACCAGTAGACCAGGAGAAAGTGGCAAAATTCAGTAGTCTACAAGTAAATCCACTAGAGTTAGCAGTTATATGTTAGTTATTAATACATATTTAATGTATGTTAATTTTAATTATAGCGAAGTAATTACATTATTTTATAAAGTAATTATATTATTAATAATTATATACACGCAGAGTAAACGCTTTAAAAAATAACAATTTCATATTTATCCCCAAAAAATATCATTACATATTATATTAAATTCAAAAAGGATATTAAAAAAACTTATGAGTGCACTATTTTTGTACTTCATAAAAAAATTGCAATGATTTAATTTCTGAAAATTTAAATAATTAAAATATGGTTACAACAAATTTATTTACGACTACTGCAGAGAGAAATAAATTTATAAGTTGGTAAAGTAGAAAATAATTTACATTACCTGATTTTTTTGTTTTAGAACTGATTCCATTCCTTTAAGCTTTGCATGCTGTAAATGTAATTTCTTTGCTTCTAAGAGCCTTAACTGTGCTCTCTTTTCTTCAATTAATTTTAACATTTTTTCACGTTCAGCTTTTTCATCAGTCAACTTTTTCATTTCCTCTTGTTTCTTTATTTCAGATTCTTTTATTAAATTCTACAAAAACGAAGTCAAATAATTTAAAAACCACTAAATAAGAAAACCTAAAATAGTTTGAAGTCATAATGATTGCAAACGCAAATAGAATAAAACTACTGAAATAGCTGCGACAAACACTTTGTAGTGAAAATATAATACTGTTATTTTTTATACATTATATAATTAAGAACTCTATACAAAGTGCTTAAAATAAATATCATGAATACTTATCACTAGAAAGATAACGTTAAGGACAAAGAAAGATTTTAGTTGAAAAATAGTTTTACAGTGCCAGCCAGACTTACCAGCTCTTACTGGAAAAAAAAAAAAAAAAAAAAAAAAAAAAAAAAAAAAAAAAACAGTTGTTTAAGGCAAATAATCAGAAGTTACAAAGAGAAAAATTAGGAATTAATTCCTATACGAGTTTTAGTGTAATTTCTGTTGTAAACACAAAATATTGCCTTCATTTACATGAATAAATAACAAGTACAACTCATAAATAAAATTTCAACAGTTTTTTAACAGAAAAATTGAGTAACACGGCTGAACTAAATCAGCTACCTACTTACTGTAACAAATCAGGCTGTCAAAATGTACTACAATAAATGTCACAAAAGCAATGCTGCTTCTCTAAAGTAAAGGTTAAAGCTGATATCTACTTTCAAAAAATAATCTGTTCTACGAATTTAAGTAAAAAAATAAATAAATTTAATCAGGTTCAATTATTGTTTATGCTTTACAGTTTAGCTTTAAAAAATCTCCCGAAAATTTTAAACTAACATTTTTAAGATTTTTTTAGTATTCTTAGCAATAACTTAAACTAAACTTCCTTATCATTATAATAATATTCACCTTTGGTGATCAGCTAATCTTATATAACATATAAACTTTGATGGTAAGAAAGCTGAACAACTGTATTTAAATGTTTTAATTTTTCAACCCCTCTTCCAATCCTAATACTGTAATTACTTTTAAGCAATATAGTAATAAAATGTTTCATTGTTCAGCTGTTGCTCGCAGCTTTGTCCGTGTGGTAGTACTTGGATTTTAACTACATTCAAGAGATAATCACAATTTTTTTTATGTATTAAAATTTAGTAATAATTGAAAATCTTATATGCTGTACTACTTACTCACGCATCACTCTCGAGCCATACGAGTATCATATAATGTGTGTATATATCTATATACTCATATATAAGCTATTGCTAAAAAAATTGAAGCTCTGCCACCAATAATTGGTACAACATAATGCAGCCCTATAGCACCATTTATGTTTAATAATTAAACAGCCCTTTTTCAAAAGATAACAAATAAATTTAAATAATTACTTTAGAATATTATTCCTATAAAAACACAAAATTATTCTAAATAAAAACTAAACATATAACTAACTATTCAAGACTACTTAAATTATTACTTCAGACAATCTAACAAAATGAATAATAACTCTATAATGTTGCTAATAGATAGATAAATATATATAGACAATAATCACTTGCGAATCCATACTACTCTATAATAATAATACAGAAATCAAAGGCACAATCGGCTTCACAACAATAAGATCCAGTTAGCTGTTCTAAAGCTGCAAATGATACTTAATAGCATCTAGACAATAGACCTTTTTTTAAAACAAAAATATATACAGTAAAAGCAAAGCGTTTTCGAACATCAAAATTCCAATTAGATTAAATTTAGTTAATGAGCCAAGTCTGTATATTAACAGTTAGTCTTCGCTCTGGCAAGAAGGAGCACTATCTTCAAGATTATTTTGATACAAGGATGAAGTGATGTAAGAAAGTAAGTACGTTATGATCCACCATTTTTTCTCCTTGTATTTTCATTCAGACTGCATACATAATTTAACGAATTATCTTAAATCAATGTTAGTTTCCCCTGCTCACTTTTACCAGAGCTGTACAATTTTAAAACATACATTTTGTTGAACTATCAAACTATTAGTGATTGTCCTTAATGCTTCTTCTTATCGAAGACATATAGTACAGCTGAACCTCGATTCATCATTCCTGCATGTATCATTTTGTTACGGTCCTGTCACAAAAGCTACTTTTATAATGTTAATAAAGGTATTTAGATCGTTTACTAGCAGATTCCTGCATACATCATTCAGAAATTTTACTGAGAATATTTATTTTAAAAGAATGTTATTTTGTTTTGATAACAGTAAATTCTGATATTGATTAATGAAGAAAATTGATATTAATTAGAGGAAAATGGATATTAATTAAATTTATGAAAATAGTTGGTGATTCTTATGAATCAATTAATAAAAATGTTGAAATTTTGGTCTATTCAACAAATGCTTGAATAAGCATTAGGACTGAGTGATCCCGATCAAGATGGCCAACCAGTCCCAACATTTGAAGAATGCCTCATAGTCTTAGAAACAATAAAGAACATTCTGTATTCTCCCAAAAAATTAAAGAAAATGAGCAGCAATCTATTACAGGGGTAATTGTGAACCCAACTCAAAAATCCTGAAAATTTCTTGAGTAATGATGCATTTCAAAAAAATTATGCCAAGTATAAATTCTAGATATAAATATAAATAATATATATAGATATAAATAAAATATAAAAGAATCTTGTTGAATGTTTTAAGGTTTTGCTTAAACTTCCGGATCACGGTCAGGGAAAAATTTGGAATTCAGGAGCACAATCATCTCTGCTATTACAAGTGCCGAAAATTTATAGTTTACATGGAGGAAAATAAAACTGCTAAGTCCAAATTTTAATTAAATAAATGAGTTTATTCATCTTTTTTTTGGCAATTTAGCTGATAGTAAATAAATTTTTTCAGTTTAATTGTAAATTTGTTATTTTTCATGAGCTCATTCATGATTTTTCTGGACCTATTGTTCTTGGTGAATGTTCTGGTTTCATAAGAAATAATCGATCTAGGTTCTATAACTGGTGTAGTTGAATTATCATCTTATTAATGTTGTCTATATATGATCATACCTTTCTAAATTTCATTATCCTATCAGCTAGTCGAGGCTTAACTTTTTTCAAGTCATACTTTGTAACGTAAAAACCAATTTTCTAATTAACAGCAGAACTAAGTATAGCATACCCAGGATTGCATAATCATTTTGTAGTTTAAAAAATTTAATTTTAATCTTTGGTGGGTAAAAAAGGAAACATTTTTACAGGACAACTGTGTGATACTATATAATCTTTACGCAATATATACTAGATTATTTTTTCATTATTGCAGCCAATATCGTAAAAGCCACGAACTATAAAATTCTTAATTAATGCCACAAACATGCAAAATCATTTACAGAAAATAGATAATTAATTTTACTTACTTGAGCTGTATTGGCAGTGCCACTCACAAATTTTGGATTCACATGAATACTTTTTGCCGTCACCTTTGCAGTTATAGGCCATGCTGGATCAATGCTGTTAACGCGACAATCAATGCCATATAAAACAGTTTTAGGTAATATATCATTCCAAGTTTGCCTTAATTTATAAAGAGAACTTCTAGTTGCTTCATCAACCTACCCAAAGTACATTTCAAAAAATTTATAAAATCTCAACAATTTCTTCAGAGTAAAAGAATTTATATTTTTGTTATCAAAATAGGAAGAAAAATAATTAAAGCAGTGAAAAGGAAAAAAAATAATGATTCTGAAAACAAAAAAATTAAATGAAAGTTGGGAAGAAAAGAAATATAAAAATAAGTAAATATAACTCAGAATTACAAAACTATTAGAATGTAAATTACAAGTGAAACAGATAATTAATTAAAATTTATGAAATGGAGAACCATAGCTACAAAAGTAAAGAATCAAATAATCACAACTACAAGTATACATATAATTATATAGTACAGTACATAAAGATGGTTATAGAACCTATTAAAATTTGTATTGTTCATAGATCAAGTTTGTTAAGATCACAAAACTGATTTGCTTACAAATAATACACAAGGCTATATTTTAATATTTAATTCTCCTATGTTATCCATTACTTTGCTGAAAAATATTAACTTTATTTGTTTATTCATACCTTTATTTATTTTGCAATATTAAGCTTTTATGTTTTTTACTTCTTTTTAATGTCATCAAGGCCAGTAATTTAACATGAATAAAATTTCCGTATTTAAGCAATAGGATAAGAAATATAAGATAAGAAAATAAGAAGGATAAGAATTATAACAAAATGTTAAGAAATGAAGCATAGTTTTTTTTTTATAATTGGTATGTTCATCAAAAATTTTGAGCATGATTTAATTAAAAGAAGCATAAGATAGTCAACATATAAAATACTATAATTCATGTAAAAATAAGCATAACAAGACAGAAAATGATATAAACATAAAATAACATAACAAAAATATTTAGATACATGAAGTGTATTTAGAAATATACATGACATATATTTGGACATGTTTAAAAATAATTACCTAATACAGGGGAAAATACAAATAGTTAATAGTTCATAAAAACCATTAAATGTACTTAAAATAAAAATTAAGTAATCAAATATACAATTGAAAAAAACTAAAGTAATTGTTTTTTTTTTTCAGTTCTAATAAATTTCTTAAATAAAATGCAAAATATTATAGAATTATCCAAGAACATTATAACACAATTCTAGAACCTTAAGCATATAACTAATAATAAAATCACACAAATTTCCCCTTAAAGTAACAATAATGTAACACTTAAAAATGTGTAAAATTTAAAAAAATTTTAATGCTTAGAAAAATTTGCAAGCTAATCTGTAAGATTAAAGCACAATAATTAAAAAAAAGAAGAGAATTCCCAGATTTCTATAAAATTTTTAACTCTATAATGATTCTGCGCATAAAACACATTTCTCTTTTAGCTTTTCTACATTCTGACACTTTGCAGAAACAACACAGTACAGAAATTATATATNCATAAATATGGTTATACAACCTATTAAAACTTGTATTGTTCATAGATCAAGTTTGTTAAGATCACATAACTGATTTGCTTACAAATAATACACTATATCTTAATATTTAATTCTCCTATGTTATCCACTACTTTGCTGAAAAATATTAACTTTATTTGTTTATTCATACCTTTATTTATTTAGCAATATTCAGCTTTTATGTTTTTTTCTCTTCTTTTTAATGTCATCAAGGCCAGTAATTTAACATGATTAAATTTCCGTATTTAAGCAATAGGACTTGTAACAAAATTTTAAGAAATCAAGCATAGTTTTTTTTTCCTTCATTTTTTTTATGAAAACAACGTAATATAGATTGCTACTACAAGATTTTTTTTATAATTGGTATGTTCATCAAAAATTTTGAACATGATTTAATTAAAAGAAGCATAAGATTGTCAACATATAAAATACTATAATTAATAATTCATGTAAAAATAAACATAAAAAGACAGAAAATGATATAAACATAAAATAACGTAACAAAAATATTTAGATACATGATGTGTATTTAGAAATATGTATTTTATATGAAATATATTTGGACAGGTTTAAAAATAATTACCTAATACAGGAGAAAATACAAATAGTTAATAGTTCATAAAAACCATTAAATGTATTTAAAATAAAAATTAAGTAATCAAATATACAACTGAAAAAAACTCAAATAATTGCTTATTTTTTTATTCAGTTCTAATAAATTTATTAAATAAAATGCAAATATTATAGAATTATCCAAGAACATTCTAACACAATTCTAGAACCTTAAGCATATAACTAATAATAAAATCACACAAATTTCCTCTTTAAATAAGAATAATGTAACACTTAAAAATGTGTAAAATTTAAAAAAAATTTTAATGCCTAGAAAAATTTGCAAGCTAAACTGAAAGATCAAAGCACAGTACCTAACAATAATTCAAAACAAGAAAAAAAGAATTCCCAGATTTATATAAAATTTTTAACTCTATAATGATTCTGCGCATAAAACACATTTCTCTTTTAGCTTTTCTGCATTCTGACACTTTGCAAAAGCAACACAGTACAGGAATTACATATATATATACATATATACTCAATATACTATATTTCTCCAATACTCAAAAAATATAATTACATAATTTTAGTTTAATTTAATACACGTAATATCAAAAATTTAAGATTTTCGATCTATGCCAAACTAACATTGCCTTTAAAAAATTGTAAAATTATAAATAGTGTATAACAACAACAGTTTACAACTGATACAAAGATTTTGGTTGTTGGAAAAAAATAGAAGTTAATAATATAAGAGTGCAACATAGAGAATGCATAAAAATATCCTAAATATCGATTCAAAGTTAAAAATACTAGACTTCAAACAAAACTGCGTTAAATTTTAATAAGAATTACAAAGCTAGAAGAATAATTGATAATAAAGAGTTTTTTATGTAAATAAAAGTACAATTTAAAATAATAATCCACTTCCGGGCAGCCATTTCCGGTGAATAACATTAGTCCAGGAAACCATATATTTTAACTTGCAAATAAACCACCGAAAGGGATTAAATTGTCACAAAAAGGGAACATTTAAATAAGGAAATTATGATTGGTAATTATGCTATTTGTAAAGAAATCCACCAGGATTGCGAATGCACCATTTTAAATCTAATAAGTGCATACTTGACTTAATGCCAATTTCATTACGTTAGTGCTACTCTTTCGATATCAATGAAAAGTAATCCAATTTTTTGTTTTGAAAATGCCGAAATGTTCAGACATTAATCTACGAAATGATCTTCATGGGTAGTAAAATAACACCACACCTGTGGAATTATAATTAATTGATCATACTGAAGAGTGTAGACTGTATGTTTTGAAGCTTCCAAAAAAAATTTATTATCTGAAATACCAATATAAACAGAGAATTTAAGTAAAATAGTAATATATTCGTAATATGCTGTTCTACAATTCTCATTAAGATGATTTACAAATAACACACATTTGAACAATAGTTTTTTTTACGCCATTTCGATACAAATCCTATTAATCGATCAGGATTATACAAGTTATTGGATAAGAAGAGATCATCAGTTAAGCAAATTTTGAATTTATAAGTAAATTTAAATGAATGACACAAACAAAAACATTTTTGCACTCTATGAATTATTTCAAAAAGGGATATTTGGTTTCAAATTAGATTAGAATTAAACACAAATAAGAAAAAGAGTTATTGTTCATCAAATGATTTGAAACAACTTAATAGTACTATAAAGCACAATTTATTTAACTTAGCTTTTCACAAATCAATGATTATTTGCAGTAAAGAAAGTCGTTCCTTAGAATTATTTCTAGACTCATACATTGAGTTGCATAAGCTTATTTACATGTGTATTACAATTTTTTAAACATCATACTTATATTATGGAAAAGAATAAGAAAAGAAAATATATTTATCTTATATAAAACACATTTGTAATTGTAAAGTTACATACAGGATTCCCATAAATTATTTTCATCACTACCTTACAATTAAAGTAAAATTACAAAAAATGTGACACATTTATAAAGAGTACATTTTATTACAACACACATTTAACAAACAGTATTTTTGTGTTGCTGTTACCCTACACTATAAATAACTTGAATTTTTACAATTTTAGTAATCCTGTTTTGTTGTTAGAAACATTTCTAATAACAAATAAACATGTAAAAATAATAAAGATCATTTTGAGTGTATGAATATGTAAAATAATTACGACACATCCTCTAAATTAAAATTATGAGGTAAGGTAAATCATGGACCAAGTCTGGGCAGTAGATTGTGACTAAAAATTTGTAACTAGCAACCAAAAGTGTAGTAATATTTAGGAACATTTTATAATGCATTGTCACCAGAAAAATAATCATAAATCATATTATTTTACTGGGAAAAATTACTTCAACAATTTATAGTACCCACTAAATTTTGTAAAGTTTAAAGTCAATAATTAAAACTTTACTAGCGCATTAAAATGATTAATTAAAGACAACTGCAGAAAAAAAATGCTAATTTAGCTTTTACGAACACCTGTTTCTCCATTATATTTTAACAAGGAAGTTATATAATGCAAGAAATAACAACACTTAAGAATAGAGCATGCAATGAATATTATATGCATCAACTACTTCAATTGTTTGACGATAATGACTTACTAAAAAAAATGTATGCAGGGTGCCCAGTTAAAAACCCTATTAATTACAAATGGCAACAGCTACAGCTTTTAATAGTGTCTTAAATATATACTAAAATTTTACTTGATAAGATTCCCTACAGTAGCATATTGAAATACAAAGTTATAAAGAATGTAATCACACCACCTATGATTTCAGAAAGGAAAAAAAAAAATAGTTATTAAAAAGTTACGTTTATTTTTGAAATTCCTTTTTTAAAGCTTTGTACAGTGCGAAAAAAAAAAAGGATCATCATGAATAACTTTTGATCTAATGATCGGATCTTCACATTCTAGGATTCAATCTAAATGGTTCGAAGGGGGTAACCTCAAATATGCCAATTAATTATTGCAGACGATGTTTTAAGATACGAAATCAGACACAA